GCATCACTGCTGCACAAACAGAATTCTCTTTGAAGTCAGAGAATGAACTCTGTGGTGAGGATGTGCCCCAGGCCCACGTGGAGCAAGTTCAAACAAGGCTGATTCTTATCTTATTACATTGGCACGCTGCACCAGCCAAAGAACTGACTGGTCATATTTACAGTCACAAAGAGGTATCATTAAGGTCCAAAGACAGAATTTCCTCATTTGAATAATTAGAATCCTCTTTTATTTACCTGGATTTCTTTGGGGCCCAAATGAAAGACGTGATTCATCTTCGTTGTCTGTTTCTGTAAATTCCCAGGAATCTCAACAGAGTGGAATGCAGAAATGGCCCAGTAGCATGGATGTTGCATTCATAGAGACCACAAAGGTCAACCTAATTTCCTCCCAGACTCCAAGAAGCTCCTAGAGGCTGGGGATCAAGGACAGCTGTCTTCATTATGGGTAGATTACATGTAGGCCACTAAAATGTGAACTTGGGGAATAGTTCAGGGTGAGAAAAATATGATACGAGGTGCTAGCATTTAACAATGAATGTACGGTTAAAGAGTGACTCATGCCAGCACTTACCAGTCCCCTCCTGATTAGGCACAGGAAAGCTGCGGGAGAGGAGGTTACTTCTTACACCCATTTTGGGGGTTGCTGATACAAGAAGTTCCTAAAACAAAATTACAAAACACTACTTTAGGGTTCAGGCCAGAATTGCTGCTAGGACAACTCTCTGATGGGTGGTTTGGGCACTATCTCAGAGGAGAGTCCTAGTAGCATTGTCGTTGTATATGTGTATTTAGGGTTGAAACAACAAACATTACCTCATATTTTCTGAGGGTCAGGAATCTGGGTGCAGGATAACTGGGTTGTATTGGCCTAGGATGGCTCGTGAGATCATAGTCAAGATGTCAGTCAGGTCTCCATCATCTAAACACATGATTTGGGCTTTAGGGCCTACTTCCAAGATGGCACATCATTAGCTCAAGATGGCTCAGTCACATGGCTATTGGCTGCAGTCTCAGTTCTTCCATCTTGCTTTCAGCCTGCCCGTTGGTTTGTAGTAGTCAGGCTACTGTCACTGTGATAAAATACATTGTGAAAAACAACTTAAAGAGGCAAGAAGTTTCAGTTCATGGTCAGCTGACTCTGGGTTGTGGACCTCCACTGTTTTGACCCATGGTAGAAAGGTGTGATAGAGCAAAGCTGCTCACCTCATGGCAGCTGGAAAAGAGAGAGAGAGAGGGGGCAGAGTTTGGATCCAGGGACAAAATATACCCTTTCAGGGCATTTCACAAACGCTCTACTTCCACTAATTAGGCTCCACCTCTTATAGTTTTTACCACCTCCAAATAATTCAACTATGAACCCATTGATAGACCAATCCATTGATGAGATCAGAACCCTCAGGATCCAATCATTTCCACTCCTGAACACTGCTGCACTGGGGACCAAAACTTCAACACCAGAACCTCTTGGGATATTCCAGGCCCAAACTATAACAAGGCAAAATTATCTTCTCTCAGAGTAAGTAATTCAAGAGAGAAGGGAGGACTAAGATTAACATGGCTGAATTCTGAACTGAGTTTTGGAGACATACAGTCTTGGTACTGCTGAGCCCCTTCAGTTTCACGCCCCTAACAGTGGCTACAGGTGGGGATGGCATAGATTTCCCAGAGAGGACTCATTAGCCTTTACGTGAGGAGCACCTGAGTCTGCCTTGGAAGATGTGGAAGGTGAGTAATATCTCTGGACTTAAACCAGGAGAAGCTTCTTCAACAAACTACTCTTCTTTATTAGCTATTACCAAATGCTGAGATAAATTTTAATTGTTTAACTTCTGGGATGGAGGAAATTAGCAAGTATTAGCTTAAACTTTCCATTTTCAGATGGCAGGTGGGGGCATAAGAAATAAAATTCCACGTAAATACTCTGAATTTTATTTGGATTTAAGAGTTATTATCTTTAATTAATGTCCATGGGTAGATTACTATAGTATCATATAGTATATTATAATATAGTTCAGTACAGTGTATTATTGGCTAATTTCTGGACTTTAAGAGCTCAATGTGAACAGCAAGAAGATAATAGGCTTGCATAGAGGAAACAGAAAATCTGATTCTCAGGAACCTCTGAGTTGTATGAATCTGACTGCAGAAGAAAGATCAAGATCCTAAGTGTAATTCTCTTACATATTGTGGGATATGGATTGATTTCAAGCTGTATAGAAAGTTTCTTCTGAAAGCCTGACATGGTGGCACCAGTCTGTAAGCTACTCAGGAGGCGAAGGCAGGAAGACAGCAAGCTCAAGTCCAGGCTGGGCAACTCAATGAGACCCAGACTAAAAACAAACAAACAAAAACAAAACCAAAAAAACATAGATGACTTTCAACAGATGAATGAACAGAGAAACTGCGGTACATATACACAATGAAATAATACTCGGCATTATAAGAAAATAAAATTATGGCATTTGCAGGTAAATGGAAGGAGAATATCATGCTAAGAGAAGTAAGCCAATCCCCCAAACTGAAAGGTCAGATGTTCTCTCTGATAAGTGGATGCTGATCCATAATGGGAGGAGGGCGTGGGGAACATGGAGAAACTTTGGGCAAAGGGGAGGGAGAAGGGGAGAGGGGGAATGGGAGCAGGAAAGATGGTGGAATGAGATGAACATCATTACCCTAGGTACATGTATGACTACTGCACATATGGTGCAAATCTACAGCATGTACAACCAGAGAAATGAAAAAAAAAGTTTGCTCCATTTATGTAAAATGATTCAGAATGCATTCTCCAGTCATGTATAACCAATTAGAACAAATTAAAAAAATATAAAAAATATTAGAAAGGGCTGCGTGTTTAGCCCAGTAGTAGAGTGGTACAGTGCTTGCCTGGCACGTGTGGGGCCCTGGGTTCAATCCCCAGCATCTTAAAAACAAAAACTAGGATAAAAAAAAATGTGGCATTTATATACAATGGAGTATTACTCAGCACTAAAAAATGACAAAATCATGGCATTTGCAGGGAAATGGATGGCATAAGAGCATATTATGCTAAGTGAAGCTAGCCAATCCCTAAAAAACAAATGCCAAATGTCTTCTTTGATATAAGGAGGGCAACTCAGAACAGAGCAGGGAGGAAGAGCATGAGAAGAAGAGCATTAAACAGGGATGAGAGGTGGGAGGGAAAGGGAGAGAGAAGGGAAATTACATGCAAATGGAAGGAGACCCTCATTGTTATACAAAATTACATATAAGAGGAAGTGAGGGGAAAGGAAAAAAAAACAAGGGAGAGAAATGAATTACAGTAGATGGGATAGAGAGAGAAGATGGGAAGGGAGGGGAGGGGAGGGGAAATAGTAGAGGATAGGAAAGGCAGCAGAATACAACAGACAGCAATATGTAAAAACGTGGATGTGTAAACGATGTGATTCTGCAATCTGTATACAGGGTAAAAATGGGAGTTCATAACCCCTATGAATCAAATGTATGAAATATGATATGTCAAGAGCTTTGTAATGTTTTGAATAATGAATAAAAAAAGGAAAAAAAAAAGAAAAAAAACACAAAAACTAAAACAAAAAACAGTTTATTGTTCTGAGCCTAATGCTGTACAAAAAATAATTGAAACTCTTAGGTGACTTGTTACCCCCGAGGAGACCCATTTCTTCTGTAAAATGAAGCTGATGATAGCAACCTGATGGTTTTATAATGATCAGAAATAAAGGATCCTAAGTGGGTGCTCAAAAAATGGTGTCTGCTTTTAGGATTATTATTACCATTGTATTTTTTTTTCTTCAAGGCTTTAGGCTCAAAAACCAATATGCAGTTATTTCAACCTAGAAGAATTCTTATCTCATGATCTTCAAAAACCACACTGAGGGAGGCTGGGATTGTGGCTCACTGGTAGAGCACTTGCCTAGCATGTGTGAGGTACTGGGTTCAATCCCCAGCACCACATTAAAAAAAAAAAAAAACTAAACTAAATAAACAGAGGTATTGTATTTACAACTAAAAATGTTAAAAAAAAAAAAAAAAACACTCTGGGGTATCTAAAAATGGTGGCTGTGGGAGGACAGAGTTCCCCAATCCACTGCAGCCTGATGATGTGGTGTTTCCTTTGAGAACACTCACAGCAGATTTATGTGGTGGTTTATTTTTAGAAAATGCAGATTCTTGGCTTATACAGCAGATCTACTGGGTTGTTATATAAAAGGATGGAACCCTGGAATCTGAATTTTGATCAAGTTACCCAAATGATTCTAATGTACAATAAAGTTTGAGAACCACTCTGCATAAGATGTTTTGAATCCCATATACAGAGAGCAAGGCAAATGAATTGATCTTAACCAGATTATTCTTAACTACAATTTTAAAATCGGATCCCCACAATAAAACCTTTTGATTAATATAACCTAAAGTTTATATGGTTATTTATACATTTATTTGTAAATTATTTACAAGTACCAGTGTGATAATGCTTCATATACACTATAAAATGAAGTAGAAATTAAAAAGATGAGGTAAAAATGTTAGAAATTCTGTGATTTTCTTCCTATAGCTCAGTGGATCATGTCATATACCTCTTGGAATTCATACCACCCTGAGGCCACCAGTCTAAACCTGAAGTGGTCACCATGATTGTGTTTATTCATTTAATTATTAAGCAAATATTTATAAGCTGGGTGTGGTGTTGTACTCCTGTAATCCCAGTGGCTCTGGATACTGAGGCCGGAGGATTGCAAGTTAGAGGCCAGCCGGAGTAATTCAGCAAGACCCTGTCTTAAAATAAAAAATAATAAGGATTGGGAATGTAGCTCAGTGGTAAAGTGCCCCTGGTTCAACAGTACCAACAACAACAAAAATTTACAGAGTTCCTTCCAAAGGTCAGGCTGGTTCTATGTTTCAAAGCCTCACTTGTGATTGATCCTGTCTACCCTACTGAACTGTTAATAACATGGCCATTTTGTCATGTGTAATCCTTTGTTATTTTTAGGTTCTGTGGGTAGGAAGGCTCAGGACAGCTCCACAGGCAGGAGGAGCAGTGCTGCATCCCGTTCAAGGTTATATCCAAGGTCAATATATAACATAACAGAATGTTTGGGTTTGGAGGAAATCAGGAGTCTCTTGGTTATTCACTAAAAATCTAAACAACAAAGTACTAAGGGTAAGTGGCCTCACTGAATTAAATAGAAAAATCATCTTTGGGAAGGTTATGTGGCATGCAGGAAAAGACACTGGAATTGGTTTTGAAAGATCCGAGTATGTGTCTGGGCTGTATTTCTTACTGGCTGCATGAACTTCTGTAAATGTTCAACCTTGATGAGCTTCTGCTTGCTCCTTTGTAGAGCAAGGATAATAACATTTTTTTTTCTTACTATCATAACCACTTTCCACCGATTTTTAGGTTTAATCAATCGGCTGTCAATCACTGTGCCTGATAGATATTCCAAATTATCACCAGTTACATAGAATTTCACTCTTTCTGATTTTTCTAAAGCATGAAATTTTGATTCTCTTGAATTCAACAACTGCTTGCCTTCCATCTGTCACTTCCCCACTCCCACAGAGGCTAACAGAGGTGACTCCAGCCCGGCTTTGCCTTTTTGGCATTTAATTTCTTTAAGCCTTCGATGCCTAGTCTGTAAAATGAGGATAATGATATTTGCACCTGAAATTTTCAAGAGCATTAAATGCACGTATGTATGTAAGTATGTAAAATGCTTGGTATAGTTAGAATACAGTAAAAATTGAGTAAGCTATTATTACTTAACTCAAATGGCAAATATGATAAAGTTCTCTCTTAACATTTTAGCAACTGCAAACTTCAACTCGGTATATCTATTTAGAAGTGGTTTTCATTTAATGATGTCAGTGATTTGACTTGGCGTCTTTTCAATGATTAACTTTCTTACATTGGTCATTGAGAAGGAAGTTAGAAGATTTTTGTAAAACAAAATTCAGTTAAGGAATGAATAATGATTTGCTTCTGAGAATGAAATTTTTGGTTTTGTTTGGTTGGTCTAGATTTAAAAACTGCCTCCCAAATTCAGACTAAATATTTATTGAACATAAAAATAAATGGAAAAATAAATATTGCTGGTATAATTATGAAGTAATGAGCTGGTGGTTTATGTGTGCTACAACACAACTTTGATCACAACTTTTAAATTACATGACAAGTCTTACACTAATATTTAATAAAAATGAATTTATTCTTGTTACACAAGCTATTGATATAGCTTAAATCTCTCCCTTAATGACTCATGATGTAATTGGCATTTCCTTCATCCTGACTTATACAGGATGGTTTGCCTATACTGGCTCATTTAAACAGAACATAACTAAACTTAATATAATTTATGGTCATTTTTGCAGCTTCAAAAAATGAACTGACCAGTATTTGCTTTTGAATGAATTTGCAGGCTATTTTCCCTTAAATACTGGAACCCAAGCCTAATCTTTAAAATGAGAGCTCTCTTCCTATTGCTTGAGTTGGAAGCTGGTCTTCTTTGTTCTAATTTCTCTTGGCATTTTATTTCTGTTTTCCTCTCTTTGTAGACTTGGTGACATATTGCATTAGGACAGGAAGGAACTTAGAGACCTAATTAAATTCCATGACCCAGGTAAGTCAACTGATTGTCTTCCTTAGTGTCACAGGGAAGGAGAAGCATGTGTCTCTTCTCTGTGCATGATTTAATTCTTCCAACTTGGCTTCTTTCAATGTCTCTGACTCCTGATTTAATTTTTGTTGTTTTGGTCAGAGGTATAAAAAGCAGTGGTAAAGTCAAATTAATGTGAAGCATGGTGTACAATCCTTTTCCTGGAACAAACCTTGATGTGCAAGTGAAGCTGGTATTTCCAGGTTCTTCTTAGTGAGTTTAGCAAACTGGGCCATGGACACGCCACTGAATCAGTTCTTCTCACTCCTCTATATTTTTAGCATTGTGACTCTTCTAAATTGCATGTAAAATTGCCTACAATTCCAGTGAATATTCACATTGAGAATTCATGTTCAGGACACACATTATTTCTCCTTTCTACCACATTGTGAGTTAGATGAAGTATTCCTTAGTGAATTATTCACACTGGAATGTAATTCATTGTTTGAGCCAAATTCAGAATTTTTTATATTCTAAAAGGGTTTTTAAAAGACTTAAATTATTGAATAAGAGATCCTGACGACTCAAAACTCATCAAACTTTAATTGAGTAGAGTCATTATGACTGCTAATCTAATGTCCTGGGAGTTGTAAATATTGTATAGGAAGAGCATATTTCATATAATTGAAATAGAGGATACTGTTTAGCAAAAATAATAGTTAATAATTTAGCAAAAAAAAAAGAGGCAAAGTGGGTGTATGAGTGTAGCATCAGAATAATGTAAGACAGGCTCCCAGAATTGTCTGTGTTTAGAGAGAAAAATAGTATAATGGGAATTTGGATATGCCAGAAAAATACAGCCTAGAAGTTGCAATTTCAGGATATATAATTTTGAACAAAGAAATAAGCCTAGAACCAAATAGGCAATATTATATATTATGAAGCAGTATAAAGAGCTGCTTAGATCTTAGAATTGTAAAAATGTTCAAGATTGTATCCATTTCTTTACTTCCTTAATCTCTATACTTAAGTTTCCACTCCACCACTCCACTAAAACTGCTTTCAGAGAGGTCACCAATCAACCACAACTTCCCAAACCTTCTTCCTTAAGGAACTGGATATTTGATGTGGTGGACCACTTCCGGAAATGTTCTTCTTTTTAGCTTCCATGGTGTTGCCATTGAAGACTTCTCTGCTTCTCTTGCCCTTCCTTCACTCGTACCTTCAATATCAATCTCCGATATTCCATCCTTGGTCTCTTTTCTATTAACTCTACCGAAGTCTTGACCATAGGATACGAATCAAACCACACTTGCTCATGGCAGTCATTACTAATTGATTTTGGAAAATCGTCCCCAAGTCCTGGTTCTCTCTTGGAATTCTAAAAAGGCTTCAGGCATCCACCAAACAATCAGAATTTGCACATGAGAATTTTTTTCCAGTCCAGTTTTACATATCAACCTCAGAAGATCCCATTTGTAGTCACGACTTTAAATTCCAAAAAGCCTGAGTTTTTTTATTTTTATTTTTTATTAATGTCTTCAGCACCTCTCATGGTACCCAGAGAACATGGTTTAGGTTGGATAAATATTTGAAGAATAAATGCTAAAATTTTAAATTAGCTAACATGATCTTGAGGACAGAGAGCAATTAAAATTGAAATGTGGTGATCATAGAGAATATAGAAAATAGTGACATTACACTGAGATCTCTACATTTAAAAATGTTATTTTCTGAACAAGAAGTATTTTCTAGATACTTCAAAATTGCAGTCAAATAGTGAACTTATATTCTATTTAATAATAAAAAATACCCACGGGGGCTATGGGAGCCAGGCTTAGGGGTCTGAGGAGTTGATTGCAGCCTGTCCAATGGGAATATTTTGCCTCAAAGTTGTAAATTCCAGTCCAATGTCCAGTGAGCATAAAATGTGCTTTCTGCTTATTTCTAGCCACAGTTAAAGTAGTAACATATAATTTGCACTGTACTTTGTAATCTTTTACAAGAATTATAAATCTTCAGCAATCAGGGTTGGTTGCAGCCTGATTTTTTTCCCTAAAAAATCAATAAATAATCTTTACAATGTTTACTACAAATATGTTTCCAATAAAAAGTTTATAGAAGTAAAGTGTTATAAACTTTGAGCCTGTGTTTCCTCCTTCCCTATTGTCTTATTTTTAGGTTATTGTACAACAGAAATGTATTTTCCATAAGGTACTAGTATTGCCTCAACTTACTTTATTGATATTCCATCTTTATCATTGTTTTCTTTTCTTTTGTTCTTTCAGTATTGTCCTGGGGATTGAACCCATTTTAGGCAAGCACTTTACCACTGAGCTACAGCTCCACCCTTTTTAATTTTTATTTTGAGAAAGGGTCTTACTAAGTTGCCCAGGCTGGACTCAAATTTGCAATCCTCCTGTTTCAGCCTCCTGAGAAGCTGGGATTATAATAAGCATGCACCACCTTGCCTGGCAATTTTTTTCCATATTCTTAGAAGAGCACAAGTCTGACTATAGCACTAACTAAGTAGTCACTGTTACAATTATATATTATCAAAGATACTTAGGTCTAAACTAAGGTGAGGTACAGTTTCAAGGTATGCAGTAATGCAATAATTCTCAGGGGGATAAATTTGAATTTCCAGTGGTCCAAAGAGTGACCCATCTACTCATACCCCATTGATGCTAGTTAACATTCAATTTCGGGGTATACTCTGAGAAGAGCAGTATAGAAGCAGGGCAGAAAAACCCAGGACAGGAGGGTCCAGCTCATGAATAATATATCAGTTCTCCAGCATAGATATTGGCAAACTTTTTCTGTAAAATGTCGCTTGGTAAATATTTTGAGCTTTGTGGGCTGTACGGTTTCTTTGCAGTGACTCAACTCTGCTGTTAGAGTGCAAAACCAGCCAGAGACAATACATAAATGGATGGATGTGGCTGTGTTCCAATAAAACTTTATTTATAAAAACAAGTGGTGGCCTGGATTTGTCCCAGAGTTTAGAGACCCCTAATCCAGTGGTTTGGTTTTGGTGCTTAGTTTTCTTAACATTGCAAACTGCTTTTTTTTTTTTTTAAATCTTATTTCATTCTCTAGTTTTATTTACTTTTTAAGTTTTCATTTAGTTGAATTTATGTTTTGCAGTGTTTTGCTGGGGGAAACAGAGAATTTTCCTTGAGTTGTGGTTTCTTTGTTTTTGTTTTGTGTGTGTCATAATTTTTTCTTCTGTTTTCTTTTGTGTGTGTTTTCATCACTGTTAAGTCGTTGATTTTTGTCTTGTTCCTTTTTATTTCACTCAGTGGAATGTGGTCTAATACAGGTGGCTTCTTCTGGTCACTTTCCACCTTACGTGAGACTTGTTTCTCTTCCATTTGGAAGATGGTCAGTAGGGTGCATATGGAGATTGGAGCCTCACTTAGTTTTTGTTAGAAGACCTGAGCTCACATTTTCATCTGAGAGTTTTGCAAATATTCTCTATCAATGAGAGGCAGAGATGGGAGGATTATAAATTTGAAGCAAATCTCAGCAGCTTAACATGACCCTCAGCAACTAATTGACACACAAAAATAAAAAGAGTTGGGGATGTAGCTCAGTGGTAGAGGGCCCTTGGGTTCAAAAAAAATGCTCTATAAAAGATAATTTAGGCTAGTTGGGGTTATATTTTATTCCTGGGAGTATATTTATTCTTCCAGTTCCTGATGGGGCCCTGAAAAATGGTAAGGGTCTGGAATGGTAAGCTCCTGCCATTGCCTATTCACTCCATGGTTTCATTTTTCTCGTTTTATTTAATTTATTATTATTATTATTATTATTATCATCATCATCATTATCATCATCGTTTTGGAAAGGGAGAGGAGGTATATTATTAAGAATTTTCTGTATTCATTTGACTTAAAATGTTAATATAAGACAATATTTTGTATTGCTTTTGCTAACATTGTTAGTTAAAAAAAAATTAGTTGTAGATGGACACAATGCCTTTATTTAATTTAATTCTTTTTGTGAAGTGCCAAGGTTTGAACCCAGTGCCTCATAGTGCTCAGCAAGTGCTCTACCACTGAGCTACAATTTCAGCCCTTAGGGTTAGTTTTTTAATTTTTGTTTTGTCACATATTTGGAATAAGTAATTTTTGCTATTTGGTTCACTCTGCCACATTGACCTGCTACACTGTTTTTGATGCTCTATGGCCATTATTTTTTTTTTTTTAATATTTTTTTTTTTTT